TTGAGCAGGGGTTAGGACTAGATGACCTCCTGAGGTCCCTTCTAACCCTAACTTTCTATGGTGATTCTATGATTCCAGGACTGCTCAATTAACATATCCATGGGTGGGTCCAACTTCACACTACTGTGTCACTGTAACTTGCCCAGTCACTGTGTCCATCAAGCCTTAACTGGGCCATTGGCTCATACACAATTGCTGTGGTCCAAACACAGGTGTATCACCAATTCTCACATCTTCTTCACTGTGCAAAACACAATGCCATTTCCATTTTGATAAATTCCAGGAGTGCGGGGCAATTTCCCAACCCACACAGAACCCCCAGAGCCCTGAGTCCCACCCCCCACCCCTGCCCCGCCACAGTAATCCTTTCTCCTGGAGTTGCTGAAACTTAACAGTGGCTGGTGCTAGGTTGTCTATGTCTACCTGCTGAATGAGGGTCTCATCCAAGCTGTCCCCACCTTGTGCATCCTGGGTCTGGATCATGGTCTGCATAGAGAACAAATCTACTAAGCAGGCATCCTCATGATCCTCCACGCCCATTTCCAAGCAGGCAGCAGAGAGGGAACGTGATCATTTTTGTCATCATCATCATCATCACCACCACCACCAGGCCTATGGGTGTACAGGGAGTTTGGTCCTCCTCAAGGACCCTGGACAGCTTTCTATGTAAGCCAACCATGATCCTGGCAGCATCCCAAGAACTTTTTTGGCATGCCTGCCCCAAACTTGCCATGCACTTGATTTTAGTGCAGATCTGCTGCCAGTCTTGCTGGTGCCCTGAGCCACCATCTGGGCCATTATGTGCTCACAAACTTTCTGGCTACCCTTTGTGCCTTTGGTGGTGGCAGTCATGGTCATCTCCTTGCCCCAGATTGCAGTGAAGTCCAGCACCTCACCACAGCTCCAGTTCATGGGCCTTCTGAAAGGGTCTAAGGAGGACATTCTTTAGTTCAGCTCAATTCACAAAGCTATATGACCACTGTTCACACTGGAGCACTTGAGCAAAAGTGACAGTCCTCAGGGAATCTTGAGGGATTCAATGGGTGCTCAGGGTGGTGCTATGTGGGCTGTAGTCATAGATTAATAGATTCATAGATGTTAGGGTTAGAGGGACCTCAGTAGGTCATTGAGTCTGACCCCCTGCCCTGGGCAGGAAAGAACACTGGAGTCAGACAACCCCAGCTAGGTGGTTGTCCAGTCTCCTCTTGAAGATAGGTAGGGGAGAGCAAACACCTCCCTTGGAAGCCCATTCCAGATTCTGGCAACCCTTACTGGGAAGAAGTTCTTTCTAATGTCCAACCTAAATCTGCTCTGCATCAATTTGTGGCCATTGTACCTAGCTACTCCAGGTGGGTGTGTAACAGGGGGGTCTTCTCGGGGCCGGTCTGCCATTGGCCCACCCACCTGTTTCTGGGCCAACCACCCTCCTCCTCTCCTGCCATGCTTTGATGATACATAATTATGTTGTTAATTAAGCAGGAGGCTGCCCACTCTTGCCCTGATGCCAGGGGGCACTATCTATGGCTCCATTCCTCCCCTACACTGCAGCCCAAGCCTCACAGATGGCATCCAAGTGATAATGCTCCCAGCCTACAGCCAGACCAAGCTTAGCCCTCATTGTCAGGCCTCAGACATACGCACATTCATACTGCCCTCCTCTCACTAGGGCCTCTCACAAGGTCTCTTTCATGCATCAAAAACTTGTACTGACTTGTTCCCTCTTGGATTGGGCCCCTTCAGCCATAGGCTTTACCTAGTGCACACTTCGGGTGGCATACGTACCATCTTTTGGACCTCCCCCATGACCCTCACCCGGGTAGTGGCCAGCCAGTTACCCAACTGGGTCCAAGCTTGCCCTGGCCCCTCCCAGGGAAACTCCATCCACTCACACACACATACTGGGCTCCCAGCCCTCTGGTTTCCCCCTCATTGGGGCTCCTCATCTCCACTCCCCTCACTGGCACCACAGGGCTTCCCTCCCCGGTAGGGGATCAGGTGGCTGTAGCCATGCCTAGCCCCATCTGGTTCTTACTCCCTCCTTGGGCTCAGGTGGCCATAGCTGTGCCTGGCCCCCTTGTATCCACAGTATTGTGGGGGCTAGGGGTTAAGGTGCCCCAATCCACCTTTCACCAAGGTGGCAACTGGCCTGGTATTTCTTGGGGGCTCCTGTGCCACTGGGAGCCCCACCAGGCCACCCACTCCTAGCAGGGTGCAATTTTAGGTCATTCCCAGGAGCCTCCAAACCATCCCCTTAAGCTCCTGCCCTCACCTCAAGGATGTTGCATATAGCCTTACAGCCAGGCAACATCTCTGCCTGTCCTGCCAGTAGCAAACTGCTCTCTTTATATAGGCAGCCAGAGTTCTAAAATGGCTGCCGTAATCAAGCACCTGCTGGCTGTTTGGCTCAGCCCTTAAAGTGGCAGGCACCACCAGTGCCCTGCCACAGGGTGCCCTAGTAAATAGAGCATCTCCTATTCCCTGCTGTTCTCCCCTGATGAATTTATAGGCAGTCACAAGATCACCTCTCAGCCTTATCTTCAGAAGGCTAAAGAGATCTAGGTCCGATCTAGGTCCCTCAGTCTCTCCATATAGGGCCTTGCCTGCAGGCCTCTGACCATATGAGTAGCCCTCCTTTGAACCCTCTCAAGATTCTCCGCATCCCTCTTGAAGTGTGGTGCCCAAAACTGGATGCAGTACTCCCCTGTGGAAGGGACCTGGCATCAACCACTTCCTCCTTTGACAAATGGGGAAACCTAAAAAATGTCCTGGGGTTCTTAGAGTAGTAATCTGCATTCTGGTTTACTCCTGTGACAGTACAATGATGCTGCCCCCTACATGAGGAAAGCCATGACCAAGCTCATAACCAATCCTACTGAAAATATGATACTTTGCCTCAAGTTGTTTATGTGCATAAGGTGATAGGGCTCAGAATCCCAACTTGGCCAGTGACAATTGTTCCAGTACAATTAGCCCCAGCTTCACAAATACTTATAATGTTCTTGACTTTACATAACAAATAATCCCATTATTTAGTGGTCAAAAGCATCTGCAAACTCTCTGCACAATTTGGAGCCTTGACAATATTGAATTTTGAAATCCCTCATAGTTGAGCCTAATCCTTCATGATCATATAATCAGAGGGATGGAAGGGACCTTAGGGATCAACTAAACCATCCCAGACAGCTGCCTGTCCACGCCCTGCAACGAAGCATTCACCCAGAAATTAGCCTTTTCATATGGCTATAATCTAGTGTGCCATCTTCCTTCCAGTTCCCTTAATCAGAAAACACAGGTGTTCATGTATTAGTTTTGCCCTTTCTGTTTATTGCACCATTACTTCCTAGTAAAGTGTCCTTTTATGTTATAGTTTCTGAATGACAGACCTGTAATGACAGGCCTGTACAATATTTACACATATTTATGTAACCCAGGAATAAGACGAGAAGAAATATGGCAATGCCATGAGACCGTTTGTTCTTATTTGTTAAACCCATAATGGACTTTGATTCAGCTGCCAGCTTCTTAATTTTTTGGCATCACCCTCCGTCACATAGAATTGGCTTAATTAGCTGTTATTACTCAATTATCACAATGGGATGCTTTAATATGGGAGAGGCAAATTTTGTTTTAAATGCACCACATCCTCCTTTGACAAATGTGACACTGTCAGCTTTTTTTTTTTTTTTTGGTCCAAAGGCTATCCATATTATTTGTAACTCACTCAGAAACATGTAAAATATCCAGAGGTTTACTAAAATATATAAAAGCTAGTTTAGTACTTTAGTGAAAGGGAAATTTAATGTGCGGAGTATTCCCATCAGAACCTTCTATAAAGCTGAGAATCCTTACTGTAGTTGTTAAATATTATATATTATATATACACATGCTAAAAATATTGTTTTAATGTTTACTATGTTTTATACATATTCAGACTTTCTGTGTGGTAAAAATCATATCTTTGTTATTTATCATTTTCTTGATAATATTTGTTTTTACAGGACATTAGCAAATGGCATGCAAAATGAGTCAGTAATTGAGAACTGGCAAGTGTCAGCTATAAAATATTCCATAATTGTAGAGTAAGAGGCTATTCATACCTTCAGGCCTATACTTGAGTTCAGGTGCCACATTTACTTGTCCTGTGCTATGATGAATACAGGGTATGCTCCTGCTATTGTCTATTGCCTAGGCTAATAGCCTATCCTGAGCTCAGCCCTCAAGAGAGTAAAAGGTGAAGAGGAAGAGAACCTGCTGGACGGAGCACCAGGAATTTGTCACTAGATTTGATGATTATCCAAAAGAATACCTCCCTTCTGCTGTTTCTTTGAATCGCATTTACCTCTTTCCAAAGTTGTGTGACATCATCCCATACTGAGAGATGCCTTTGGGCCTCTGGAAACAGAAAGAGCATGTTTCAGAACAATGTTCGTCTCAAATTTACTTCATTCTGGGGACCATTTTTGCTATGTTCTCTGAAGAATATATGTAACAAACCTTAGCAAGTGTCTCTAATTTGGAATTACAAGATCTCAAAGTCAAATAATGATGCAAGCACTGTTAAAACATTGCAGGTATTTATGATTAGTAACCTGGCCAGAAGAATCATATACTTAAAGATACATCTGTATTTATGAAATCTGTAGACTGATAAATTTATATCACTGGTGAAATATATCACTTCAATATTTTCCCTTCTGAGGTAGGAATCCAGATTAGGTACAAAGTTCAAAGGTGAGAGGTTCTAGACCACAGATAAAGATAAAGGTTAAAAATAACAAATATATCATACAGTCCATTTCCTCAGACTGTATTAAAATAACCATTATAAAGATTTTAGAAAAAGATTAAATCAATATTAAATTAAAATTAGTTACTCTACTTTTAAGTTTTTGTTTGTAATAAATGGAAGACAGACTTTGGGTCAGCTTCATTTTACCATATTGGAGTATATATGTGAGCAATGAAAATCAATTTAATTTCTAAATGTCTTATTTTCACAGACAACAACATTAATCGGTCTTCTGAAGACAGCTAGATTGCTACGTTTGGTAAGGGTTGCACGGAAGTTGGACAGATATTCAGAATATGGTGCTGCAGTCCTGATGCTCCTTATGTGCATATTTGCACTAATTGCACACTGGCTTGCTTGCATTTGGTATGCCATTGGAAACGTAGAAAGGCCTTACTTGATTCATAAAATCGGCTGGTTGGATTCTCTAGGGGTACAACTTGGAAAACGATACAATAAGAGTGATGCAGGCTCTGGTCCATCCATCAAGGACAAATATGTTACAGCACTTTATTTTACCTTCAGCAGTCTGACAAGCGTCGGATTTGGAAATGTGTCTCCTAACACCAACTCAGAGAAAATCTTTTCCATTTGTGTCATGTTGATTGGCTGTAAGTGTTGGACTATTTTATTTTTTTACTCAGGAATTGAATACAGTTGGTATAATAGATTTTTAAATTATAAGCATGCAAGCAGGATGAGAGAAAAATGAAAAACAAGATGATACATAAACATATATTTATAGTATTTATGGAGTCTCAGGTATAGAAATTGTATTTATTGAGTTTCATGCATAATATATATATGCAACTCCAACTGAGAAAGGTACATGATTAGTACCTAACTTTAAGCTGCCATGTTGTCCACTGACTTGTATTAGGATTACTTGTGCATGTGCTAAAGTTTCTTCCTTACTGAAACTATAAAGAGAGTATTGCCAACTATTTTTAAAGATGGTTTTCACTGGAAATTTCTTATTATGGGCACTTTTAGAATGCAGACAGTATTTCCAAATATATGTGGTATACCTATTGATGCATCTACCTGACTCTGTAGCATGTTGTATAATCAGTACTAAAATAATCTGCTTTTGGCTGATATCCATCTACCACGTGATAATCTGATAGAACGTTTCTGATTAAGCAGCTGCCATCTAGCTGAAAACAATTAATTTATGCTAAAGCAAAAATTCTTTTTTAAACATGCACATTAGGTTCATTATCATATATCAAAGGAGCTACAGAAATGGGTGAAGATAATCATTTTAGTGCTTGCTTTGCTCTTCTCCTGATTTGGGATTCCAGTTCCATTCTTTGGAGGTAATAGTAGAAAAAGAGACAGAAATAGTGTTGGTCTGATTCCCACAGGCTTTGTGTGGGTGTTTATCCTATCGTATGGTAAGTCCTACCAGGCACAAAAATCACAGGAATGTATTCAGTACTGTTTTTGCCATGATCTTCTAGGTCCTTTGGAGGCAAGTGAGAAAGTAGAAGTAAGAGAAAAGATTGTGTTTCACTGCACATGTAAACAGATATTATGTGTAAGTGTACATGAGCCTGGACAAATTCTTCAAAATCTCAAGATCTAAGTGGATCTACTTCCTTCTATTCAAGAGGCACGATATAAGGGTATGCAGACAGGGGATGGATGTGTCTGAAGATATTTACAATCTTCCACATGCAAACTAACTTTGGCTGAAGAGCTGCTTCAAAGCAAGACAACTTGGCAACCACATTCTTTGCCTTAGTCATCAATCCTTTTTACATAGTATTTATATGTGCATCATAAATGCATTGTATACATAAGGTTGGGTCATAAGCAGTCTGGCCTGGCAGGTAGGCCACCAGGGGAGAGCTAAAACAGGAGCTGGAGGACCCAGAGTCACACAGGGGAAGAGGAGCTAGAGTCCAGGTTACCAAATCTGAGGGGAAATTCCAGAGGCAGCAGAGAGGTCACTGGCCAAGTCGGGATTCTGAGGTCAGGGACCAAGTTATTAAAAATCAAATGTTGTTTGCTGGTTTGTTTACAGAAAAATGAATGGCATAAAGAAAATTTATTAGGCACTGTAGCAAGGAACCAGAGGCTCCTGTTACTAAAAAGGGTGAAACATTGCTCTCTAGCCTGCTGTGTAAGCAAATGGATAGCCAAGATAAGGACTGTGGGCAGCAGACCTAAGCAGCAGAAGGGAGGATTGAGAGAATCATTAACCCTGAGGGCAAATGCTTGTCTGAGCCTGTGGCTCACCAGTCTCAGATAAGGTGGCACCCTGGTTATAGATAAAGGGGAATGCCTTGGAGGCAGGGTTGCATGGGCTCAGAGATGAGCTCTCTGAAGGGAAAGAGTAGCCACTCAAGGGGTGGTGCAGAAGCAGGGACACCTTGGACAAAGTGTGAGAATGCAGAGGCAGACGGCTCTGGCAATTACCCAGAGCGAAGGGGAGTTTGTTTAAAATAGTAGCTTGTCTTTCTTTATGCTGCTTACCCAGAGAGAGAATGGTTTTGTTAAGAGATAACTTACCTTTTTCTTTCATGATATTAGAACAGGGAGGTTTTGGTTAAAGTGATAGTCTGCTTTTATATTATCATTAAACCTGGAGGACTGGGTGTGGCTACAAAAGAGGTGTAGAGGAGGCCATGAGTGGGGTGCCCAGAGAAGCAAACCAAGCTGTGAACCTTCTAAAGGCAGGAATATTAGTGACAAGAAGAGCACAAGGGCATGGGCCCTGCCAGGGCCATACACAAGCCAGGCTGGTGAAGACCTAGAGGGCTGGGCCCAGAGACAGTGGGCCTAAGGAAAGAGAACCCAGCTTCATGAAAAGAGGAAAGGCCAGGACAGCTGAAGCTGCTATACAGACTCTGAGACATGAAGGGCGAAGCCGTGAATGAGGCAAATAGCTCCACTATGTTAATGACTGGTAACACCTGTGAGGCATGGGCCTGGCTGTAGAGGAGGTTGGAGCCCTTAAAGCACCTAGTGTCTGAGGACACCAATAGAAAGTAACTTGATAATAAACTAGGTTCCCTTGGGGCTGTGGACAGCCTCCCAATTTTCTTTCCAAACAACATCAAGGCATAGCAAGTGGGTGAGGGGGACAGGCCCAAATGACCAGAGGAGGCAGGACTTGAATGGTTACAAGGGGTGCTACAGTTCTACTCGACCCCAGGCCTACCACAGGCACTCCTGTTATTTACCCTTCTTATAATATACAAACAAGACAATAGTCAATGAAATTGAAAAGCAACATAATTAGAATCAATGAGGCATTTTTTTTCAGAAGGTATAATTAATCTGTGGAACTCATTTGCACTAAATAGTATTGAAGTCTCTAGTTCAATAGAATGAGACATTTATATACATTAAAATATCTACAGTTACACTGGGTAGATAAAAGCAATTTACATGTAGAAATGATATAAACCCTTGTGTGGCAGAACACAAGCCAGATAATAGTGAATAAAAAAAATCCCCTTCTTTACTGCATAGGTTATTCTATGAATATCCAGTAAAGCTTTTCCTTCTTCCTCTCAAGTATCTGGTATGTCAGAAGAAAAAGAGACACAAAATACCAGGCCATCAGTCTGATTTTCATGGCAGTTCCTATGGTCTTGCTTCTTTGTCATACTTCCCTTAACCTACCGTACAATTTTGTGATTCATAAGTCACAACAGTTATAATACATAATGTAGAAGTGAATTCTTGAAATCACAGAATTGTGACTTCATAGTAGTAGTTGTCAGGGGTGTGTGAAGCCGGCCCTATTTGACTCGGATTTGGATTCAGCCCAAATCAGGGACAGTGACTCGATTCATTGATTTGGATCACTGTCCCTGATTCAATCTGGCCAAATCCAAATCTGAAAATTTGATGCTGATTCGGAGAATCAGTGATTCAAACATACACACAGCTTTAAATGTTTTTTCTATGTACCTCGAGGTACCAGCATGGATTTTGAATGCTGCAATCCTGAGGCGGATGGAGTGTTCCACAGGAGTGCAGGGGGACCTTGCATGTGCTCGGCGGTGAACACGGAAGTGGACTGGAAGTACTTCCAGTCCACTTCCGGGTCCACCAGGGAGCACAGAGGGGCACCCCCTCGAAGGCCCCCTGGCTCAGCAATCATCCATGGGGGGACTCCAGATGCCCCCCCAGACCCAGGAGGCACCAGTTGCTAAGCTAAGGGGATGCGGGGGTGGGGGCCGGCATACTGTCCGGTGGACCTGGAAGTGGACTGGAATTGGTTCTGGTCTACTTCCAGGTCTGCTGCCGAGAGTGCTGGGAAACCACTGCACTCCTGTGGGACACTCCGTACACCTCAGCATCTCAGCATTCACAAGCCACCTGCTACCTAGAGATATATAGAAAAAACATTTAAAGCTGTGTCTATATCCGAATCTCCAAATTTTTCTGAATTTCTCTGAATTGATTCAGAGGGTTCCGATTCAATTCCGAGAGATTAAAGGGTCCTCTAATTTGATTCGGATTCAGAGATTCAGATACCGAACTAGGCTGAGTTTCTGCCGAATCGAATCAAGGACCAAAGCTTTGCACAGCCCTAGTACTTGTAGCCTATTTTCTTTAAAGAAGTGCCAACTTTTCAGAGAAAAGCAATTGTTTTTCATTTGTATCAGGAATTGGTAACCTGGGTAAAGCCTTATAATTCTCATTGAAGTTCTATACTTCAGCATAAACAGTAAAGGAACTGACATCACAGAAGTATTTCTCTACCAGATGAGTGTAACAATGTGTTTTGTGTATTCAAGAAAAAAAAACTAGCTGAGTATAATAACCTGGTGAAATTCTATGTGTTGCTCATTTGGGAATTTAATAGATTGTATTAACTGAGCAGAAACAGAAAATGTAATTGAACGTAGTTAATTTCAACAGAACCCATGGACTTTATTCCTGCAAAGGGATCTACTAAGGAAAACTAATTTATATCAGTAGGGTTGTTGGTTGTAGCCATGCTGGTGTAAGGACATAGGCAGACAAGGTTCTTTGGGTAGATGTGATATCTTTTATTAGATCAGCTAAATAGTTGGAAACACCCTTCTTCAAGCATAGGGAGGCTTCTTCAGGCATAGGGTATTTGTGTCTGAAAGTTTGCAAAGAACATTTTTTCCAACTATTTCATTGGTCTAATAAAAGATATCACATCTACCCAAAGAACCTTGTCTGCCATTTATATCAGTGGCATTCCACCTCGGCATGAGTGTTTTTTGCAAACAGATTCCTCAACTGAAAAAGCACTGCAGTTGCAGAGTCATTAAAGCTATTTAACCTGAAGAAATAAGTGCTTTATTTTGCTTTTTGGTAAGCCAGAAAGACGTGCCCAGAGTGAGTTAAAACAGATCTGATAAGACCTATTTAAAGAGGTAGTACTGAGATTCAGATTAAAAGGAATGGTCTACCTCAGTTAATTCAGCCTCCAATATTTACAACATACTGTCATTTGAAATTGTCTTGTGTCTATGTTCAATTACATTGATTTATCAAAAATCTAAGTTGCCCAAGCTAATTTCCCTATACTCTTCTTTCACTCAAAGCTGAACACTACTTCTGTTTTAGTTGTAAATTCTGAGAAACTATATGCTGCTACATAACTGTGGCCACTATGAATAGCCTTGCTGAAGAATATAAGATTACTGATGGCCTACACAATAGAGCTTCAGAAAGAGGTGTTGCAACCTTTGCTGTAGGGCTGTGCAAAGCTTCAGGTGGTGATTCAATTTAGAGGAGATTCGGCCTGATTCGGTGGCTGAGTCTCTGAATCTGAATAAAATCAGGGGACCAATTAAAAGGTCTGAATTGATTCAAAGCTCTCCAAATCTTCAGAAAAGATTTGGAGAGCTTTGATTATTTGGGCAGTCTCCAGTGGCTGCATCAGGGAGCTGCAGCCAGACTCCAAGCTGTTAAGTAGGGGTGGGGGGGGGCTGGAGGAAG